AGACTATTTTCATCCAGACATAGGAAAAGAACAAATGTAATGAAAGATAACGTTAAAAGCTTATGAAGGATAGGCCTGTAGGAACAGAAAACAGATAAGTAGGTTTATTAATATTTGGACTACAGGTGTAAACAAAGTGAAGTATGCACAATGTCCAGTGAGTCACAGCCATAAAATCCGCAGCAAGGTTTGATGTTCACAGACGACACAAGAGAAATATGAAGTTCGTATACCCTTGGCATTCAACCTGTATCTCTCTATCCATTCCCTTCTCCTAACCTAAATCAACCTACTCTAAATATACTTGCTCTCAGATCATGAATCACTCTAGACCACCATTAGGTATTTTGACCAATCATATATAATTTTTTTTTCACTCTCAAAATCAGTCCAGACAAAGATATTGTACTATCTGTCCCCGTCATCTTATTTATGCAAGGAAAATTCTGAAATTATGCAAACCGAGCCCAAAAATGTGAAATTATGCGATTCTGTTAATTTTAGCAAAGAATGATAAAGGAAATTAATCAGAAATTAGGCGGAAAATGATCAACGTTTGCTAAATTATGAGGGGTGCATAAAACCACAGGGACAGTACTATGTACAAATGTTTAATTACAGAAGCCTAGAACACATAACAGTTGTTCTGATCAGTAATGTCAGAAGTACACAAAGAGAAGTCATAAAACAGTTTGAACATGATAGAAAAAATTGAAGAAAGATTGAGTCGAATACGAATTGGAAGAAAGTTATAAAAACTTTTCATTGTCAAAACACGAGGCTTGTATCAGTATACAAGTGACATTGGCTGATAACAACATCAAGTTGGGAAAAAAAAGAATACACTTAGTGCTGGCCATAAATCTGCCATGATTGTTACACATCTATTGGCCCGGCAATTCAATACTTTATGATGTGCTCTGTTGCTCAGTTTTTATAACCTAAGTAAAGGCAACTGTTGTTGGATGCCAAGTTCTTTCAGTCAAGAACTTGCAGTCACCCTTTAAAAAGAAGCATTTAAACACCAAATGGATTTCACCTTTTAAAAAAAATAAAGACATATGGGAGGCAGTGTGGTGAAATCAGTCGCTCGTCAAAATGATGAAAGTGAAAAAAATTAACTGGCCTTTTCCTGCAGGTTTTGGAATTTTTATTGAATTTTTGTTTTTTAGCTCAACACTTTTCATATTCATTATTAAAGAACACATTTCTTTGTGAATTTTACTGACAAACGTTGATTAAAGGCATAATAAGATGTAAATTTTCAGTTTCCGCAGACTCTCAAGCTGGGGAAATAACTCAACTTTGGCAGAAATTTTCTCGCTAATTTTACCTCTGTGACCATGTGGCCCCAACGTCCTCCAAACGCCAATATCTTGACTTATACAAAAGATAAAGGGATATTGTTTCCATCACAAGCAAGGCAAATGGATAGGCCTTAAGATGATAACAACAACTCCTTATATGCCCCAAAATCGATGAGCACCTGATTCCACCGCGACACGACACATATGTCTACGTTTGACTACAATTCAATATATCAAAAAATGTAGTATTACAGCAACCATAATTTTCAAGCAATCTTTAAATGCTTTTCTAGCCTTTTTTATGCATCCTGTAGAGAGTATTCTTCTCCAAACATGTAGTTGTTTTCAAGAAAATAAGTTAGTTTATTATCATTTTTTTTCTGTATTAAAAACCCATTAAAATCAAGACAGAACTGTTATAAAAATTTACATCTACAAGTCCTATAAGATAGACACACATGCCCTAGTGGCCTTGATAACCTATAAAACAATGAAGTGTAAGTTAGTATTTTAAAGTCCGGACTTCAGTCTCTCCTGGACTCTTTTGCTCACAGCACACATAGTACCCTGCTTCTATGTATTAATTATATTATTATTCTGTCACTTGTTTACGGGAAAAGACGGTGGGTTTATTAATATTTTGAGTTTGAGAGGGAGAGAAAGGGAGGGAGAAAGAGAGAGAGAGAGAGAGAGAGAGAGAGAGAGAGAGAT